ACATGGTGAAACCCCTTCTCTACTAAAAATATAAAAAACTATATTTTTTGGTGGTGGCATACGCCTGTAGTATCCCCTTGCACTTGTATCTCTCTTTCTCTCCTGGGCTTAAGTGATCCTCCTGAATACCTGGAACTACAAGTGTGACATTACACCGGGCTAATTTTTATTATTTTTGTGTGTGTGTGTTGGAGATAGGATTTTGCCATGTTGCCCAGGCTGGTCCTGAACTCCTGGCCTCAAGTAATCCTCCTGCATTGGCTTCTCAAAGTGCTGGAATTATAGGCATGAGCCGTCACGACCTCCTTCACCATTTCCACTTCTTAATCCCCTCACTATCCTGTATTTTGTTCTCTTTAGCATTTAATACCTTCTAATATAGTACATAACATTTATCTATTTACATTGTTTTTCTTTGCCCCCAGTATTAGAATGTAATAAGCACTTTGAAGGATGGGTTAGGGGAGAGGGATAGGTCTCTTATTTTTTCTTGTATCCTTAGCACCTAACAAATGCTGATGAGTGGATAAATGACTGATTTAAATGAACACAAAAGAAGTGAAGTATTAGTTAGATCCAGCCTTTTGCCCCAGTTCTGCCATGTGTTGGCCTGTAGAGACATAAGCTTTGACCTACATCCTCTGTGGGTCTATAAAATGATGTCGATGAATAGATGGTTCCTACCAAGTTTTATTATACTCTTTTAGGAGAAGGTGTCTCCATCGTCTCTCTGAGGGTTGTATTTCGAAATTATTCTGTAGTTTAAGGAAAAATTCTTCCCTTTGGAAAATACTGTATCCTTTCATATAACTGAAAAAAATTGAAGGAGTAATTTTATATCTAATTGTTGGATTTATCTTCTGGCTATAATTATTATAAACTTAATATTTTCCTGTTAGAAGAAAATTTATACAACTCGACAAATATTTGCTATGCATTTATTTTCTTGGTGTATGACTCTGCTAGGAGACATGGGGCATTTAAATATATTTGTATTTTGTCCACATCTTCAAGAAACTAACATAAGTTAACAATTAAAGGCTGGGTGCAACGGCTTGCACGTGTAATTCCAGCACTTTGAAAGGCCGAGGGCCGGGCGCGGTGGCTCAAGCCTGTAATTCCAGCACTTTGGGAGGCCGAGACGGGCGGATCACGAGGTTAGGAGATCGAGACCATCCTGGCTAACACAGTGAAACCCCGTCTCTACTAAAAAATACAAAAAACTAGCCGGGTGAGGTGGCGGGCACCTGTAGTCCCAGCTACTCGGGAGGCTGAGGCAGGAGAATAGCGTAAACCCGGGAGGCGGAGCTTGCAGTGAGCTGAGATCCGGCCACTGCACTCCAGCCTGGGCGACAGAGCGAGACTCCGTCTCAAAAAAAAAAAAAAAAGGCCGAGGCAGGTGGATTGCTTGAGTCCAGGAGTTTGAGATGAGCCTGGACAACGTGGTGAAATTCCATCTCTACCAAAAAAATAGAATAATTAGCTGGGTGTGGTGGCTTGCACCTGTTATCCCAGCACTTTGGGAGCTCGAGGCAAGTGCATTACTTGAGTCCAAGAGTTCGAGACCAGCCTGAGCAACTTGGTGAAACCCCATCTCTACCAAAAAAAAATTTAAAAATTAGCTGGATATGGTGGCATGCACCTGTTATCCCAGCTATTTATGGGATTGAGGTGGGAGGATCACTTGATCCCGGGAGAGGGAGATTACAGTGATTCGTGACCATGCCACTGCACTCCAGCCTGGGTGACAGAGCTTGACCCTGTCTCAACAAACAAGAAACTGAGGCAATAGTAAGTGAAATAAATAATGTGGCATAAGATTATGAATGCTGTGGAAATGAGATTTAAATATACAGAATGTAAGATAAAATCACCATGCTTTAGGTCGTCTGGCAGTATGGATAAAGCAAGTAGGAACTCATTAACCAGGGCATTTTCTTGGAAGGAGGTGGGACTTGTTGAAAATCTCTTTGGAAGGATGAACGGCAATTTGGACTGATAAAATATAAAAATCAGTATGAATAAAGATGAACAGCTTATGTTTTAACCGTTAATTCAGTTTTTTTTTAACCTTTAACTGACTAATAACCCCTACCTCCAGCAGCAGCAACAGCTTCACATACATTGAAACATTTGTCTAGGAGATGATGCAATTGGTATAACACTAACAGAGATATTTGGGGAAAGTAGTTGGAAATCGATCTTAAAAAAAGGAACTGGTTATGGGAAAATTTGAATACTAAAATGATTTTTGACTTGCTTTATACAGGAAACAGGAAGGCAGTTTGGGCCCTTAAGCAGGGAGTGTCTGTTGAATACAACATTTTTAGAAGGCAGTGATGTACAAGATAGCTGTCTTTTGCAAATAGTTTTTACTTGGACATGATAAAGTTTGTAAGGTGTATTTTATGCTTTTGTTTAGGGAAGAAAGTATTTTGAAGCAGAAGTTCTTTTAACCAGAGAAACCTCATTTTAAAGGCTAGGGTAAATGTTTCTTGCTTACTAGTTAATGACCTTTCTCTTGTTTCTGAGGAGACTCCAGTTCTTTTTTTTTTTTTTTTTTTTAATTTTTTAAATTTTGAGTTGGAGTTTCACTCTTATTGCCCAGACTGGAGTGCAGTGGCGCAGTCTTGGCTCACTGCAATCTATGCCTTCCAGGTTCAAGCGATTCTCCTGCCTCAGCCTCCCAAGTAGCTGGGATTACAGGGGCTCGCCACCACGCCTGGCTAATTTTTTGTGTTTTTGCTGGAGACGGGGTTTCACTGTGTTGGCCAGGCTGGTCTCCCACTCCTGGCCTCAGCCTCCCAAAGTGCTAAGTTTACAGGTGTAAGCTACCGTACCCAGCCTCCAATTCATTTTTGTTGTTGTTGGAGATAGAGCCTTGGTCTGTCGCCCAGGCTGGAGAGCAATGGTGCGATCTCGACTCACTGCGACCTCTGCCTCCTGAGTTCACGCGATTCTCCTTCTTCAGCCTTCCGAGTAGCTGGGACTGCAGGCATGTGCCACGACACCTGGGCAATTTTTGTATTTTTAGTAGAGATGGGGTTTCACCATGTTGGCCAGGGAACTCCTGATGACCTCATGTGATCCACCTGCCTCAGCCTCCCAAAGTGCTGGGATTACAGGTGTGAGCCACCATGCCGGGCCTCTCATTTTTGGTATAGGCTAAGTGTAGTCATATTCCAGAATAGGTAGGCAGTGCTTCTTTTGCTTTCAAAAGAAAAAGAGATACATATTTCTTCTTAAAAAGCTGAAATAAGTCTGGGCGCGATGGCTCACGCCTATAATCCCAGCACTTTGGGAGGCCGAGGCGGGCGGATCACCTGAGGTCAGGAGTTCGAGACCAGCCTCGACATAGAGAAACCCGTCTCTACTAAAAATACAAAATTAGCCGGGCATGGTAGTACATGCCTGTAATGCCAGTTACTCAGGAGACTGAGGCAGGAGAATTGCCTGAACCTGGGAGGTGGATGTTGCAGTGAGCCAAAGACCGTGCCATTGCACTCTAGCCTGGGCAACAAGAGCAAAACTCCGTCTAAAAAAAAATAAAATTCTATTTTTCTTTCTTAATGTTTTCCCCCCTTTTCTGCAGCTCATATTTCATATTGGTTTTTTAGTTACAAGGACCCCAGGGATGGATCATCTGGTTTAGTGGCTCGTAAGAGTCTGTTGTATGGCCTAGAGAGCTCAGACTAATACAGTCACAATCTCTGGTCCCCTAAATCTATACTTTAGGATGTTCTTTGAGTCCAAACTAATCAAGTCTGGTGTTTTTCAACTTTACAAGTTTAGGACTTACCGGGGAGCTTTTAAAGAATAGTAGAATATCCTGCTCTGGGCATGGTGGTAGGCACATGTAATCCCACCTACTCCAGAGGCTGAAGTGGGAGGATTGCTGGAGCCCAGGATCAGCCTGGGTAACATAGCAGGGAAGAGAGAGAGAGAGACACAGACACAGACACCCACCTCCATGTACCCACCATGCCCTGCCCCCCTCCTGCACTCTTCCCCCATGAAAAGGTAGACTACCTGGCCCTACCCCCAGAGGTACTGAGTAGATGTTGGACCTAAGCCAGTATAGTTTGATAAGGTTCACCAGGTGATTCTGATACAAAATTTCCATTAAGAGCTTCTTAATCTAGTTAGATCTCTATTTTTTTCGACCAGAGAAAGAGTTTGGGAGCCCTGATCGCTTGCATCCCAGTCTTTCGGTTATATAGTGTCATAGCCTTATTTTTGTCACCTCTTCTTGCATCCTGCATCCGTGGTGGGATTCGTGTGTAGTATTTTTTTTTCCTTAATAAGATAACTTCTGCCTTTACCCATCCTGGCTCATTATACCTACTGTGAGGAGAACTTGTGGGTTCATTTTTAATTTCTTTTTATGTAAATTGTTTCCTGGAATGACTTCCAAAGGTCTGAATTTGAAATTGTCAAGCAGGAACTTAATCTGAAGTAATATTTATGCTTATGAAAAACAGGTGCCTTTGGGCCAGCTTTTAAGAAAGCTCTTGGTTTCTGATAACTTGTAGGGGACTGTTCCACATTTGTTTCATTGAGTTTTGTTTGTGCAGGTATAGTTGATGGAGTACATGATTGATAATAGTAGCATTTTCAGCTTAGTAATTCATAAACTGCATTTGTTGTCTAGAAAAACTGCATTGCTGCTGTTAATCTAGTGGAGTCTAGTAATATGGTATAAAATGCCATAATCTGGTAAAGAGTTTCAGATCTGAAAGATATGGATAAATATGCTAAATGGCTGATGAGCCATGTAGGTCAGATTAGTCAAGTGGCAGAGAGGGGAGCCTGGGTCTGCTTCTTGTTGAAATAACTCTTTGGGAAAACAAAGCTGCCGCTGGTATAGTTTGTTTCTGAACCATAGGATAAGGAAGAGGGGGGCCTCTAGTACACCAGCAGTCCTTTTGAGACTAACTCCTAAATTAAATTTGAAATTTATACTGCTCACTTATGTTATTTTTCTCCTCTCTATCCTGCAGGGGTTGATAGTTCTTGGGGAGGTACCTCCCCCAGAGCATACAACAGACTTATTTCTTCCACTTAGTTCTGAGGTGAAGACAGATCATGGGACTGATAAATTGGTAAGTATAAAAGATAGAAAGGGTGAAATGCGTAAGAATTAAGGGTGTTGTCTTGGCACACCATTTCTTCTCTGTAACTAGGATCCTTGCATTGGCCGAAGGAGGGGAATTGTATCTACTTTTATCACTTATGGCATTTTAAGATCTGAATTTCTGAATAGGTAACCTAGGGCCCCTCCTGCAGCTGTGTAGCTGACCAATAGGATTAAAAGCAGCTCCAACTCTCAAGACACTACAGCCAGAGCAAGTAAGGCATTAGGGAGTATCATTGGGAATCAGGAGACCTGGGTGTGGCTCTGACACTTGAGACATAAGGTCACCTTTCTGGGCCACTCTAATATATTACAGCCTTTTCATTAAAAGGTTAGACTAGAGGTTAAATTCGCAAGAACACTGAAAATGGTCTCTATGGGTGACTCACTCTTATTCTGTAATGAGCATTAAGCTGTCATTTTCTGTTTCCTTCTGTATCCTAGCTCTGCTTTGATTCCTTCTCTTTCTTGGTTTCTCTCAATACCATAGTTAATTTTCTTTCTGAATTCCAAGAGCATTTGTTTATTTCTTTCACTTTTTTACTTTGCCTAAAAGGTTACTGGGTTTTATGAATATTCATATTTCTTGATTTAAGTCTCCATAACTTAATTAGAAATTCCAAAGTCCTACAACAGTAGTTTATTATTTTGATTATGCTTCAGATAATAAGGCTAGTATGAAGTGCTGGCTTTTTAAATGGTGAGTTAAGCAAGCTGTTCTTGTATCTGCAAATAAACCAACCTTATAGTTCTTTTATTTATTTTAATGATTGTTAGCAGGAACGCATGATGTGGTGGAAACTAAATTTTCTCTGAGGCAGATGTTGGAGATGTTCAGATCTTGGAAAGATCTTTCACCTAGTTTTGAAAGCCAGCCACTGTTTCTAGAGATAAATGTGAAGACACTAGAAGATTGATAGTTCTTAACTGGAAAGTAGTTTTGAATAAATTAAAGAGCAGAACGCCAAGTTTTGCCACTATATAAGTCTATAATATAAGTTCATGGCATGCTGTTTACAGAATTTTTTTAAGTTATTAATAAAACTTTTAGCGAATGGTCTATTCAGGATAAAAATCGTTAAGTGAGAAAGAAAACAGATAAATTGATGGTATGAGTACAAGAAACATGAAACAGGCATATGTGATAGGGGAGTAGGTTCTATGTAGATATTTACATATTTGTATATAGAATTTAAGGATTCCAAACTTTTTTGAGTAATTTCCCTATAGTCATGTTTCTCTCACCTCAGCACTTCTGAAGGACAGGGCATAACAGTCCCTTATTGTGTTACTGATTCTCATTATCTTAAAAAGTCCACAGTGATTGTGAGATAGTTTATACAGATTCACTTGTAACACACACACACTCTTCAGGAGCTTGTTCCTTTCCCTGCCCTTCATTTATTCGCTTGTGTGTTAAATTGTAAGATTCCTGGCCGGGCGCGGTGGCTCAAGCCTGTAATCCCAGCACTTTGGGAGGCCGAGACGGGCGGATCACGAGGTCAGGAGATCGAGACCATCCTGGCTAACACAGTGAAACCCCGTCTCCACTAAAAATACAAAAAAAAATTAGCCGGGCGTGGTGGCGGCGCCTGTAGTCCCAGCTACTCGGGAGGCTGAGGCAGGAGAATGGCGGGAACCCGGGAGGCGGAGCTTGCAGTGAGCTGAGATCCGGCCACTGCACTCCAGCCTGGGCGACAGAGCGAGACTCCGCCTCAAAAAAAAAAAAAAAAAAAAAAAAAGATTCCTTTGTGTGTATTAAATTGTAAGGTTCTTGAAGGTCAAGACCATCTTTCCCTTTGTGTTGGCCATTCTAGTGTCTACGTTGTGCAATAGAATGCTTTTTGGATTGAGTAAAATAAATAATGAAAACAACTAAGTATACACTGTCAGTTTTTTGTCAAGGAGAGATTACCCTGTCCCTGTTTTTGTCAATTAACTACCCTTTATGAATATATCCATGCTTTCCGAAAAGCGTTCAGAAAGTGTTAGAGAAGACGGGCTGGGTGGGGCAGGGACAATACATTTCCATTGTTTATTATTAGTAGAATGGGTTGCAGAGCATATGTTTCTTAAAAGCTATTAAGTGACTTAAATTTTTAAAATGCCAAATATTTGCAAAGCCATGCCTATGTCAATTGCCACACAAAGTTTTTCTGTATAAGAAGGCAGTATTTAACTTTGCTTGTTTGTTCTCCAGATTTTTTTGTTTTGTTTTGTTTTAAATTTTAGGAAAGCGGTTTTTCTCAGTTTTGCTTAAAATAAATAAATAAATTAGTTTACCCGGGACAGAGGACCACTGTAAATTTTCATACCCACATGTACCCATCCTGTGTTCCATTTTATTAAATTTTTCCCCAAATGGAGGTAGGTGTATTTATTCTTTTTTTTTTTTTTTTTTGGTTAAGACAGGTTCTTGCTCTGTCACCCAGGCTGGAGTGCGGTGGCACACTGTAGCTCACTGCAACCTCAAACTCCTGGACTGCACTTGTTTATTACCCAGAAATATATTTGAAGACTTGTGGTTTAAAAATAATAATGTCAGAGATATTTTCTATTATGTTTAATTTTTGTATTCTCATTTCTGAAACTAAGCTGGAATTAACAAAAAAAAATCAGTATCTTTAGAATTGTCAAAATATAGTTTCAGAACATTAGACATAATTCCTCCCCTCCCCTCCCTCCCCTCCCCCCTCCCTCCCCCCTCCCTCCCTCCCTCCCTCCCTTCCTTCCTTCCTTCCTTCCTTCCTTCCTTCCCTCTCTTTCTCTCTCTTTCTATTTGTCTCTTTGTCTCTTTTTCTCATTCGTTCATTTGTTCTTTCGTTTGTTCATTCGTTCTTGACCAGGTCTTACTCTGTCACCCAAGCTGGAGTGCAGTGGCGTGACCTTGGCTCACTGCAGCCTCTACCTCCCAGGTTCAAGCCATCCTCCCACCTCAGCTTCCAAAGTAGCTGGGACTACAGGCATGCGCCACCATGTCCGGCTAATATTTGTATTTTTTTGTAGAGATGGGGTTTTACCATGTTTCCCAGGCTGGTCTCAAACTCCTGAGAACAAGCAGTCTGCTGGCCTTGGCCTCCAAAAGTGCTGGGATTACAGGCGTGAACCACTGCACCAGCCTAGACATAATTCCTAAATATATAGTGATTTACTGAATAACGAGGGAATCATGATGGTGACCAAACTGTTAACAGTATTTTAATACCAAATAAAAAGGAAGAATGCAGGAATATGATTACTCAGTAGCATACAAAAATTGTTAATGAACAATAAAGCTGTAATTTTGGACATTGTTTTCAACAAGATGCACACCAACTTTAACTTGTCAGCGTTCTAAAATAAACATCCAGTAAGACTTCTGGGCCCTAATCAATTATAGATAGTAGGTAAAACAAAAGTTAAATAATTTATGGAGAGTCAGATGATTCCTAGGTGGGCTTGTTAGGTAATGTCCCAGTGCTACACTGCAAGGATACATAGTCTTTTTGCTTTATTTCCAAACAGGATGATTGTTTATTGACAGAACCAGTATGTATCTGCTTGGGTCTTGAATACAGTACAGATATTATTGAACTAAGTTGTTCTAAAAGAACCCAACCTATGAGCAAAAGAACTGGAGACTGAATGCATGGGTGAACCTTTTTTGAGTCATGGAGCAAATCAAGGAATATTTTCTGGGTTGGGGAAGTGGGTACTGTTTTTATACCACAGAGCAGTGGGTTAGAGGAAGGGAAGACCTAAGGAGGAATGCCTAGAAAAATGCCTCTTTTTTTTTTTTTTTTTTAACCTCTTCTTATTTCTGACTCAAAGGCAGTTTTAAAGGTGTAAGGCTAGCTGAGGGAGAGAAAACTTAATGGGCCTCTAGCTTGGTAGCTGCCGATAAGTCATGTGTGTACAGATAAATGCTTCTGTGAAATTTAAGACTCCTTTTGAACAAAGAGGGTGTGCCCTTGGAAAGAGAGAATGTAAAAAGCGGTTGAGAGTTGTTCTCTAGTGTTCTGAAACATGCCTTTTATCTTCCCCACCTTCTCATTCTCTCTCTTCAACAAATAGAAGCCTGCTTTCCCCTGCCTAAGAAAAAGTAATGAGCAAAGAAGGACAGACTTGGAGCCTGTACATGTTACTAGGTAAATTACTCAACAATTTGTCAGCAAAATTTCAGACAGAAAGTATTGCCAGGAAGAGAAGAGAGCATTCTCAGTCCATGTGCCCCAGAGCTTCTAGAATTCAATAGTCACTGCCTCATGGGCTTGTATGTTATCAGAGGATGGAGTTCAGGGCTACCAAGTAGGTAGAAATTGAAGGAGGGAGTAGTGGCAAAGAGGGAGCTATGGGACATGGGGAGGGGCATAGGCCCACAATCTATTTGAACCCCTTTCAGGTCTTTGTGCTCACCCCTGAACTGCACACATTTAGGGAAGATTTTATAGGACATAGTGGAAAGCAACATTGGAAGGCTAAAAGAGCTGAGCAGAGAAGATCATCATTGCCTAATGCAGGGAAGGCAGAATTTGGAGTTTGAATTCCAGCTATACTTGGCAAAAACCAGAGGACTTTGATTGAAACCAATAAAAGCTCACACTTAAAAGAGTTAAAGAATGTTTCCCAGGACTAAGGCTTTCACCATAGGATTAAGGAGGGAACCAAAATAGACTCCAAACACTCTTTAGGAAAAGCTAACTAAATTCAGAGTCTCTATAATGTATTGCATACATTGTATACAATAGAAAATTATTATACATATGAATAAACACGAGAATATTCTATTCATGAGGAAAAAGGGGAAAAAATAAGATGGAAAAAGTTGAGGAACTTAATGGCTGGATTTTTGAATTTGAAAAGTCAGTTTACAAATGTATGAAACTTTAGGCCGAGCGCGGTGGCTCACGCCTGTAATCCCAGCACTTTGGGAGGCCGAGGTGGGTGGATCACCTGAGGGCAGAAGTTTCAGAAGTTTCCCCAGTCTGG